ATGTAGTGCCCAGGCTGCACATCTGGCAAAGGTCTAATGCGTGTTTGACTAGACAAGTAAGTGAATGGAAGAAAGAGGGCTCTGTTGAAAGGAAGGGGATAAATTTAACTCAATAAAATTTGAGACATTGAAAGGCCCATCTGCCCTATCTTGCTATTGTTTACCCAATGCATCAGGCCCATGAGGTGGGAGGAAGAAGTGGAGGCAAAATCGATTGGGGTAGGCTTAGCTTTTTCACCCTGGAAACTGGATGTCTGATTTAAATACCCAACATGGTACTAATTAGCTGTTAAAACACCAGTCATTCCTGAGCCCAACAGGTCTAAACACCTACTGTTCATCTACTAAACTCCCAATCATCCTTTGTAACTTTTGTGAAGTCTGCTCTGACCTTGCCCACCAGCTCCTGAAGAGTCGGCCACTCTGTTACTACTTGACCTTGAACCTCTTTCTATCATTGCTCTATATTGCATTTGGCCACTTTATAAGCTATTTTCCCTAAACTTGGATATGTTTCTCTGGGGGATATGTAACACTAAGTAGACATTATGATAATTTAATACTGTTTTTTTTTTTTTTTTTTTTTTTTTTTTTTTTTTTTTTTTTTTTTTTTTTTTTTTGAGACGGAGTTTCGCTCTTGTTACCCAGGCTGGAGTGCAATGGCGCAATCTCGGCTCACCGCAACCTCCGCCTCCTGGGTTCAGGCAATTCTCCTGCCTCAGCCTCCCGAGTAGCTGGGATTACAGGCACGCACCACCGTGCCCAGCTAATTTTTTGTATTTTTAGTAGAGACGGGGTTTCACCATCTTGACCAGGATGGTCCCGATCTGCTGACCTCGTGATCCACCCGCCTCGGCCTCCCAAAGTGCTGGGATTACAGGCTTGAGCCACCGCGCCCGGCCAATACTGTTATTTAAAATATTTTTATGTTGAAACAAACAGCCATATTATGAAATAGGATCACAATAATAAAAGAGTTTTTAGGGCCAGGTGCAGTGGCCTCACACCTGTAATCCCAGCACACTGGAGGCCAAGGTGGGTGGATCATTTGATGTCAGGAGTTTGAGACCAGCCCGACAAACATTGTGAAATCCCATCTCTAATAAAAATACAAAAAATTAGCTGGGCATGGTGGTGCATGCCTGTGATCCCAGCTACTCAGGAGGCTGAGGCAGGAGAATCACTTGAACCTGGGAGGTGGAGGTTGAGGTGAGCTGAGATCATGCCATTGCACTTCAACCTGAGTGACAGAGCAAGACTCCGTCTCAGAAAGATAAAAAATTTTTAGAATCAAATAGGACATATGAAAATAATGACAGCTAGTGTTTATTGAACATTTCCTATCTCCAAGACAATGTGTTAAATGCTTTACATTATCTTGAATACTTTGCAAGCAGCAGGCATTGGAGTTCTTCCCAATGCCTCTAGGGGTGAGAGTTCTAGTTCTCCTAGTGTTTGTGGCATTTGGGAAAAGTGGGAGAAGGGTTGTTTACTTGAGCTCTTCATTTCCAGCACCCAGTAGCTAGCCTGTACAAAGTTGAACCTCAGTAAAGGCCTGTGGAAAGAATAGACTGCTCTCTGCAGGAATGTCCTTTCTTTCCTCCCTCCCTTTCCACCTGGTGAACTCTTACTGGCCCTTCAATAACCTATTTAAATGTCATCTCCACTGTGAAATCTGACTCTCAACTATTTTATCTGGCTCCCACTGACTTTGGGCTTCCCTCAGAACCAGCAGTGGGTAACTGGATTAACACTCTTTGTTTGTTGTTGATATGGTGTCTCAGTCTGTTGCCCAAGCTGGAGTACAGTAGCATGACCTTGACCAACTAACTGCAGCCTTGACCTCCCTAGGCTCAGATATCTCCCACTTTAGCCTCCTCAGTAGCTGGGACTATAGGTGAAAACTACCATGCCCAGCTTATTTTTGTATTTTTTGTAGAGACAAGGTTTTGCCATGCTGCCCAGCATGGTCCCGAATTCTTGGGCTCAAGCTATCTGCCCATCTCAGCCTCCCAAAGTGCTAGGATTATAGCATGAGCCACTGCACCCCGCCCACTCTTTATTTATTGGACTCCAATGTAAGGGGTTGGGCAGCTCCTCTAAGAATGGATCTTGGCCTGATTTCTGAGCATCTAGCAAAGCGCTTGATAAGAGAAGCCCTCAGTGTGCATTTGTTGAATGAGTGAAGTGATAAAGTTAGCTAATATTCAGAACTGATCATCAAAGGGGAATGTGTTCTTTCTCTAGGTCCATTTTCTTAACTGAATGATGGCCCCCTAAAAGATATGTCCATGTTCTAACACTTGGACCCTGTTACTATGAGCTTATTTGGAAAAAAAAAAAACAGTATTTGCAGATGTAATGAAGAATCTCAAGATGAAATCTATATTATCTGGGTACGCCCTAAATACAAAGACAATGTCTTATTTATTTATTTTTTTGAAACAGATTCTCACTCTGTCACCCAGGCTGGAGTGCAGTGGCACGATCTCGGCTTACTACAACCTTCACCTTCCAGGCTCAAGCAATTCTCCTTAGCTTCCCAAATAGCTGGGATTACAGGTGCCCACCACCATGCCTGGCTAATTTTTGTATTTTTAGTAGAGATGGGGTTTCACCATGTTGGCCAGGCTGATCTCAAACTCCTGACCTCAAGTGACCCATCCACCTCAGTCCTCAGAGTGCTGGGATTACAGGCCTGAGCCACCGTGCCCCGCCTTCTTTCTTTTATAAAGACATTGTCTGTAGGCTGGGTGCAGTGGCTCATGCCTGTAATCCCAGCACTTTGGGAGGCCGAGGCGGGCACATCACCTGAGGTTGCGAGTTGGAGACCAGCCTGACCAACATGGAGAAACCCCGTCTCTACTAAAGATACAAAATTAGCCAGGCGTGGTGGCGCATGTCTGTAATCCCAGCTACTTGGGAGGCTGAGGCAGGAGAATTGCTTGAACCTGGGAGTCAAATGTTGTGGTGGGCTAAGATCATGCCATTGCACTCCAGCTTGGGCAACAGGAGTGAAACTCCATCTCAAAAAAAAAAAAAAAAAAGAAAAGAAAAAAAAAGAAAGAGAAAACATAGGAATAAGAGAAGGCCATGTGATGACGAAAGCAGAGATTGAAGTTATGCAACCACTAGGTAAGAAACTAGAGCTATCAGGAGCTGGAACACGTAAGGAAGGATCTCCCCTAGAACCTTCTGATAGAGCACAGCCCTCCTGACACCTGGATTTCAGGATCCTGCACTCCTGAACAGTGAGAGAATTTCTGAGGTTTCAAGATACCCAGTTTCTGATAATGTGTTATAGCAGCCACAGAAAACAAATTCAGCTTAGAAACAGAAATATTTTTGTGTGAAACTCCCCCCAGATCTTGGTACCACATGAGTTCAACCAGACAAGATTTGGGATTTCCCAGAGACTCCTTTCTCAACAAACACCTGACCACGCACCCCAGGCTTCAGCCCTGAGGAACCACTCAATGTGTCAGAACAGGAGACAGTGGGAGCTCTTTGTGGTCCAGCTCTGAGAAAAGATCCAAGGTGTTTTTCAGGCTTCTAAACACCCTGGAAAGACAGTATGCTTACATTTTGTTTAAAAATTTAAAATGCAAGTATTATGTGCTAGGTCCTGTGTGGGCACTTTACATATGCTGATTTACTTTAATCCCTACAGCCACCCTGTTACTACTTTAAATCTGAGAGAGGGGAGCTCACTTGCCCTCAAAGGTGGCAGAGCCAAGATTCCAGAGTGCCTGATTCCTCTCGTGTCTGACTCTAAAACACTACGTTCTTTCTGCTATGGTCATCCAGGTGGTGGAAAAATTCAGTCTAGGGGTAAAAAAAGGAAGATCAATATCCTGCAGAATGACTCATGCTATTTATTACAGAAGCAATTGCTGGAGATGCTATTATTGTGGATCGAAGAAGTCTTCATGGAAGAGGTGGCATTTGAGCTGGGCCTTCACTGCACAAAAACCATTTCCTGATTCTCTGTCAGGCACTGGGGATGCAGAGATGAACCAGACAAGGTCCCTTTGCTTGAGGAATTCACCGTGTGTGTGTGTGTGTGTGTGTGTGTGTGTGTGTGAAGGAGGGTGGCTGCTTGTGTGTGTTAAAAGACAATGTGGCCAGGCCCAGTGGCTTGTGCCTGTACTCCCAACACTTTGGGAGGCAGAGGCTGGAGCCAATCACTTGAGCCTGGAAGTTTGAGACTAGCCTGGGAAATATGGCCAGACCCCATCTTTACAAAAAATTTAAAAATTAGCTGGTCGTGGTGGCATATGCCTGTATTCCAGCTACTCAGGAGGCTGAGGCGTGAGGATCACTTGAGCCCAGGAGGTCGAGTCTGCAGTGATTCCTGATGGTGCCACTGCACTCCAGCTAGGGCAAAAGAATGAGGCACTGTCAAAAAAAAATTAATAGAATAATCCGGATCATGGTAGAGTCAAGGTTCCTAACTCGAGGTCCCAGAGAGGCTCATAGAAGCCTTCTGGAAGAAAGGACTCCTGCCCCAGCTGAGACTGATAGATAAGAAAACATTAAGTCAGGAGGAGAAAAGTAGCAAAGGCTTTCTAGGAACAGCACAAGCAACCCACCCAAAGCGGTGAATCGGCGTCCTGGGTGCCTGGCACACCTTGTAGCTCAGCGTACTAGTTAGAGGAGTGCGGGAAGGGGCGTGTACTTGTGGGTTGGAGTTGGTGGTGGAAGAGGTGGTGGGACCGCCCGACGGTTCTCAGGTTCCAGTGGTGGCTCAGGCCTGCGTGGTGGCTCTCTGCTGAACCATAAAGCATTCCTTTTCAATTCCTGCACGCCGATGAGAATGCCTCGGGAAAAGATTACACATGGGCCTGCTAAGGCAGACAAGCGATCGCCACCCAGCCGGTTTTCAAGCGGATCTCCGCCCTCCACAGCCTGTTACCACGGCAACCAGTAAAGGCGGAAGTGACTCAGAAGACTGATACTCCCTAATCAGGTGACTCTCCCTCCTCCCGCACGTGACACTGGAGCCCAGGGGCGCGCTCTACCTAATCAAGACCCCACCCCTCTTTCCCTTTAGTGACAATTGACAGCGACCTCGTGCAATGGCCCCTCCGGCTCCAACAGGAGACTCTGCCTGTTGGTAGTGAATGAACCAATTAGACTGGGAAAAAAAGAAGAAACGCCCCAGGTTTCACTCTTGCTTGACAGACGCAATTGAGGCCATCCTCGAGTCCCTCCGCCCCCTAGTCCAGTCAGGCCGGCGATGGACAGACCTTCTACCCAATAGCACGTCCGTTTTTTGCCGCTGGGTACCTCCCCCTTGAGAGCTAAGCCAATGAGCGCACCGGGTCTCGGCGGGGTGGAGGGGTTGCACTGCGGTAATATGGCTCTTCCTTAGCCAGCGGCGGCGGCAGCGGCAGCGGCCAGTGTTGGGAAGGAGCAGTCCTGCCTCTTGGGTGGCGGGTTTGTAGGCTGCCGGAGCTCGGCGGGTGGAGGGTAGGAGGCGGCGGCCGATGCCGGTGGAGCGCCCGCCCCGCCGTTTGGCGGACCCTGGATCGAGATGAGCGCCTCCGCGTCGGTCGGGGGCCCGGTCCCCCCGCCACCCCCGGGCCCAGCCTCGGCGCTGCCTCCGGGTTCTGCTGCGCGGGCCCTGCATGTGGAGCTACCGTCTCAGCAGGTAAGCCCGCGGCTCGTGGCGCTCGGGAGGGAACCTGGCAGGTCAGCGTGGAGAGCCTACTGGCTCCGGGCTGACCCCGCGAGCCGGGACACCCAGAGCAAGGACCCGGAGGGCTCGCGGGACTGAGGAAGGCTGTCAGGAGATCGTGTGCAGGGAGGGGTCCAGTGATGGCCGAACCTCCGGGAGATCCCAGAGTCTTAGGAGAAGCCAGTTACAGGAGATGGGCTTGTGAGGAAACAAGCAGCCAGCCATCGAAAGTCCCTGGGGCCCCGGCCCGAGGCAGCTTTTCCCCACACCTAGAGCCTTGGATTCCCTTGAGCAGACCCTTCCCCTTGTCGTCCCCCTCGCAAGGGACCTGGGAAAGCCCCTGTGTCCCAAGGGCCATGGCGAAAGCACTTCCCTTTCTTTCCCCACCTGGTCATCCCCTCTTACAGAGAGACCAGTTTGTACTGTCGTGCAAGAGCCCAGGAAGAGACTTTGGGGTTTCTACCATTTGCTTTTTAATCTTCCCTGATAATTAAGTATTCAACCTCTTTAGACAAATGTGTTTGAGACTTCCTAATTCTCCGAGTCCCAAGGAACGCATGTTAATAATGAGGAGGACTCTTTCCTACTTCATTCCCTCCAGGGAGTCTCTGTGGAAGGAGGATTTGATGTGTATATTCATGTGTTCCCTCATACTTTGGGAAAGGTGTTGGGGACTTCTTGGTTCTACCTTGTCGGGAGATAAGAAGGGGAAACACTGATTTGGGGGATCTGACAAAACTTTTTGTTTCACTCACGTATCTGTAGAGCACTTCCCTTCTTATATCCGTGACCTTCCCTCTGTACCCCCAAGGGGAGATTTTGTAGGAATCTTAGCATTAAAGAGACCTAAAGAAAGTACCTTTTCCTCTCTCCGTTTATTCCTCCTTCCAAGAAGAGGACCTAGGGGTAACTGTCATTTATTGAGATCTTACCGTGTTGGACTTGTGCAAAGGGCTCGGTGACCATTAGTTGACTGAATTTCCTCAACTCTGAGTTAGCTGTTTTTATTACCTCCATTTGGCAGTTGAGGACACTGAGCCTTGCCCAGAGCCTTCCAGTTAGTAAGTGGTGGGGCTGGGTTGCAGAATCCAGTGTTTGACTCTGCAGCCACGCACGTGCTTGAGACTTCGGCAGCCTTCCTCCACCACCTTTACACAGGACAGAGCAAGCTCCTTCATAACACTCCTCCAACTTTCCATAAGCTGCCAGTGGGACTGAGGAAGGATTCATAAAGAAGAACGGAGAGGTTGTAGGGAGAGAGTGGTTGAAAAGTGAAATGGATTTGAATGCAGTAAAGGAGGCGGGGGCTAAAGGGAAGAGTTGGAGATAATAACCACAGTGGTTGCCATTGAGTAGGCAGGCAGAAGAGCTTGCAGAAGCAACAGCTTTTTGTGTTACTATATCGAAGAGGATTGAAAAGATACCATGTGCCCTGGTTTTGTGATGCTGTTGGGCAGGAAATTTCTGAATAGTAGGAGTTTGAGGGTAGTGGGCATTTGGATTGTATTGTGACAATGGGAGAGGGTAGAAGTCTGGCTGGGGAGACTCTTTCTGCAGTGAGCATTAATGTAGGGTTTTTTTTTGTGTGTAGGAGGTAGAGTGTGAGGGTGGATACAGGGAGAGGGAATAAGGAGCATTGTTAACAGCCTGGAGAAGTCCTGAGGAGTTCAGGGGCCAAGAAGTGTTTAGTTTGGGGGAGCTTTGAGAGCATGTGGGATTAAGAAAGAGGAAGCTTAATTTACTTCATAGAGCCTGTTCTTTGATAATAGTTAACAGTTTAACACTGGGAAAACTGATGCAAACAGTTCATGGAATAATTTCAGCCTCATTTGTTAGTGTTTGGCAAATTTTTGGATTGGTGCCAATGGATATATAGTGGCTTAAGTGTACAGCTGAATGCTATATGAGTGCTGAGTGTGCTATTTACAGCTTCCTGGGGGTGTCATCCTTGAATTCTTGGAAGGCAGCCTATATAACAAAGCACTTTTACTTTTGCATTTGACATTAATTTAGCTTTTGGAGTCAAAGTGCTCTGGTTTTTAGTGTATAAATGGTATCTATAAAATTTTGTTGAAGTTTTAAATGTGTATAGTAAATTACACGGATTATTAGTATTGTCACCAAGTGAACAGTTACGTAAGTACTACCCAGATTAAGAAATATAAAATTTTGGCTGGGCGCAGTGGCTCATGCCTGTAATACCCCGTCTCTACTAAAAATACAACTACAACAACAACAAAAAGCCAGATGTGGTGGCACACATTTATAATCCTAGCTACTAGGGAGGCTGAAGCAGGAGAATCACTTGAACCCAGGAGACGGATGTTGCAGTGACCCGAGATTGTGCCACTGCACTCCAGCCTGGGCGACAGAGTGAGACTCTGTAAAAAAAAAAAAAAAAGAAAAAAAGAAATACACAATTATTAACATCCTGGAAGTCCTCCTTATGTTCTCTCCCATCTCTACTTTTTCTTTTTCTCCAAAGGAACCACTTTTCTGACTTCTAACATAAAAGATCAGTTTTTACCTGTTCTTGAGCTTTATATAAATAGAATTGTGCAAAACGTATTATTTTGTGTCTGGTTTCTTTTACTCAGTATTGTTTGTGATAGTCAGTCATGGAGTATCTATGTGTGTCTAGTTTTTTTGTTTTTAGCATTATTTTGTTGTCTTTTTTTTTTTGCTGTTACAAAATTTCAAAGGTTTAGATAAATTGGAATGCCAGTTGTTACCTTTCCTTTAAATAATACTTTCAAAACCATACACTTTAATGCATCCCATACTGGTTGGCAAGGTATCAATATTTCTAAACAAATAAACAAGCTCTGTTGGTTTAGGAGTTCTATGATAATGTTGTCTCAAAACATAGATTCAGTGGTTCCCAGCCCTCTTCTAAGATGGGGTTTGTTGACATTTTGGAGTGAGGGTGGGCTATTACATGTTTAGCCACATCCCAAGATATCAGTAGCACCTCCCCAGTCCTGACAGTAAAAAATAAGTTTGGACATGGCCAAATGTTTCTTAGGGGACAAAATTACCCCTAGCTGAGAACCACCTTTTAAGGTGTATTTTCATTTTAGGATAGAGAGTATCCTTGTTATTATTGACTCATTTATTTCAATCTTCATTAAGTCCTGTTGATTCTAGAAGTGGCTATAATGCTTGAAAAGTTAATACTGCAAACTCCTGAACTTTTCCATATATGAGTACTAATTATAATCAATATCAGCTCCTTGACTGTGTCAAATGGGACTGTTAATTAATTTTGTCTTCTTTTGCTTCTATGTGATCTTACTTTATTGTAACTTAAGCAAGAACTAGTCACACATTTTCTTTGTTTTTGATTTTTGAGACAGTCTTACTCTGTCACCCAGGCTGGAATGACGTAGTACGATCTCTGCTCACTGCAACCTGCTCCTCCGGGTTCAAGTGATCCTCCCGCCTCAGCCTTCGGGTAGCTGGGACCACAGGTGTGCACCATCTTGCCCAGGTAATTTTTGTATTTTTAGAAGAGATGGGGTTTCGCCATGTTCACAGACTAGTCTTGAACTCCTGGCCTCAGGTGATCTATCCACCTTGGCTTCCCAAAGTGCTGGGACTACAGGCATGAACCACTGTGCCTAGCCCACGAAGAAACTATTTTTTTTCTATTTTTGGCCAAGCATGGTGGCTCATGCCTGTAATCCCAGCACTTTGGGAGGCCAAGGCAGGTGGATCACCTGAGGTCAGGAGTTTGAGACCAGCCTGGCCAACATGGTGAAACCCCATCTCTACTAAAAATACAAAAATTAGCTAGGTATGATGGCAGGTGCCTGTAATCCCAGCTGTTTGGGAGGCTGAGGCAGGAGAATCGCTTGAACCCTGGAGGTGGAGGTTGCAGTGAGGGGAGATGGCGTCATTGCACTCCAGCCTGGGTTACAAGAGTGAAACTCTGTCTCGAAAAAAAAGTATTTCTACTTTTTTATTTTTAGTTTTATTTTTTTAGAGACAAGGTCTTGTTCTGTTGCTCAGCCTGAAGTGCAGTGGTGTGATCATTGGCTCACTGAGGCCTCAACCTCCTGGGCTTAAGTGATTGTCTTGCCTCAGCCTCCCTAGTATCTAGGACTATAGGCATGTGCCACCATGCCCAGCTAATTTTTTTTTTTTTTTTTTTCAAGATGGGGTTTCACCATGATGGCCAGGCTGGTCTTGAACTCCTGACCTCAGGTGATCCACCCACCTCGGCCTTCCAAAATGCTAGGATTAGAGGCAGGAGCCACCACGCCCGGTGCCTAGCTAATTTTTAAATTTTTTTTTTTGCAGAGATGGGGGCTTGCTGTGTTGCCCAGGCTGGTCTCAAACTCCTGGCCTCAAGAAATCCCCCTGTCTTGGCCTCCCAAAGTGTTGGGATTATAGACGTGAGCCACTGTGCCCAGTCAGAAAACAGTTTTAGATTTATTGAAAAATTGAGAAGATAATACCAAAAGTTCCCATATACTCTACAACTAGTTTCACTTATTCTTTTTTGTTTTTTGAGATGGAGTCTCTCTCTGTCACCCAGGCTCTACTACTGCAGTGGTGCGATCTCTGCTCACCGCAACCTCTGCCTCTCAAGTTCAAGTGATTCTCCTGCCTCCGTCTCTCGAGTAGCTGGGATTATAGGCGTGTGCCACTTCACCTGGCTAATTTTTCTATTTTTAGTAGAGACTAGGTTTCGCCATGTTAGCCAGGCTAACCTTGAACTCTTGACCTCAGGTGAGCGCCCGCCTCAGCCTCCCAAAGTGCTGGGATTATAGGCATGATCCACTGCTCCTGGCCTCACTTATTCTTAACATCTGCCTTAACGTGTAGTATATTTGTTACAATTTACATACCAATATTAATATATTATTGACTAAAAAAGTCCATAGTTCATTTAGATTTTCTTCGTTTTAAACAACTGTGGCCAGGCCTGGTGAGTCATGCCTGTAACCCCAGCACTTTGGGAGGCTGAG